CTCCAACTCCTAGGCTCAAGTGATCCTCCTACCTCAGCCTCCTGAGGAGCTGGGACTACAGGTGTGCACTACCACACCTGGCTAATTTTTTTCTATTTTTTGTAGAGACGGGCCTTGCTTTTCTTCAGGCTGGTCTCGAACTCTTGACCTCAGGTGATCCTCCTGTCTCCGTCTCCAAGAGTGCTAGCATTACAGGTGTAAGCCACCATGCTCAGCCTACAATTTACATTTTTAAATAATTTGAATCCACTGTCAAATAATTTGTTATGTAATGAAAGGATCTTATAAATATATTCCCACTTCCTTCTTCCCATGTCTGTGTTGTTTTTTCATATATCTTACTTGTACATGTGCTGTATATACACCTAATACATTGTTACTTGAATTGCTTTACCTATTTTCTTTTCTATTTAATTTTTTTGAGATAGAGTCTTGCTCTGTCGCCCTGGGGAGAGTACAGCGGTATCATCATAGCTCAGTGCAACCTCAAGCTCCTGGGCTTAAGCAATCCACTTGCCTCAGCCTCGAGTCCCTGAGTAGCTGGGACTACGGGCGCACACCACCACGTGTGGCTATTTTTTTTTTTTTTTATTTGAGACAGAGTCTCATTCTGTTGTCCGGGCTAGAGTGCCATGGTGTCAGCCTAGCTCACAGCAACCTCAAACTCCTGGGCTCAAGCAGTCCTTCTGCCTCAGCCTCCCAAGTAGCTGGGACTACAGGCATGCACCACCATGCCCGGCTAATTTTTTCTACATATTTTTAGTTGTCCAGCTAATTTCTTTCTATTTTTTTAGTAGAGACAGGGTCTTGCTCCTGCTCAGGCTGGTCTCAAACACCTGAGCTCAAATGATCCACCCGCCTTGGCCTCCCAGAGTGCTAGGATTACAGGCATGAGCCACTGCATCTGGCCTAATTTTTCTATTTTTTATAGAGACAGGTCTTGCTCTTGCTCAGGCTGGTCTTGAACCCCTGAGCTTAAGCAATTCTCTTGCCTTGGCTTCCCAGAGTGCTAGGATTACAGGCATGAGCCACCGTGGCCGGCCTGTTTTCTTATTTAATATGTCTACTAGAAAATTTGAAATTATATATGTGGCTCATGTTATATTTCTATTGAGCAGTGTTGCTCTAGAATTCTAGCCATCAGTTATATATCACTACCTAATGTCTGTTAGCTGTTTTTCAGCCCTGCTGTTGATCCTATTCAGTATAGCATATTCTATTGTGAACTCTTTCTAGATTCTGAATCTAGAAAGTATTTCCTACTTTTTATTCCTAGTGTCTAGGCTGATGGATTTCTGGCCCATTCCATAGCTTTAGAGGGAATACTGGAGTAGGATTGAAGTGGAAGGGAGCTATGATATACTTTCTTAAGGCCTATGCAAGTAATTTTTCCTGTCTTCCTAACATTAATTGTCCACATCAGTGTTTATCAGTGTGGTGGTCTAGGAGCTTTTTCTAAAATCACCCATGAATCTAAATGATGTTTATGTACACTGAACCTAACTGCTTTTGGCATTGATTGTCATGGTTTGTGGCCACTTTTGACTAAATCTCATCTTCCCACTAGGTTGTAAGTTCTGTGTGGGGAGTGATTTATGTTGACAGTCTCCAAATTTACCACTTAAATTTCTTTTCCTTTTTCAGTCACTTCCACTTAATTTGTAGGTTTGGTTTTGAACATCTTTGCTTACTTACTTAGTTTACCCACATTGTGTACCATCTAGTGGTAATAACGGGTAACTTTCATTCCCCAAGGTTTAACTCTGTGGTCCTGTGAGATGGCTTTGAACGCTATAGGGAAACATACTTGATAGGAGGAAATCATCAAAGAATTTTAAGTGCATATTTTAACTGACATTAGTTTTATATTAAGTTTATGTCACATTGTTCTATATATGTATAATTTGTCGTATCCAGATATAATTTTCCCTTAATTATTAGAAAGCTTTATAGTTGACTTTGTAAAATAACTTTTATAACGTTTATGATTTATTTTATGTACTAGGCAAGAGAAATTGCTTCATAACAGAATAATGGACTGATTGGTCAATTTAGGGACTAGACAAGAGACTCTAGGAGCTGCCCTGAAGTAACATAGTTTAGTAGGAGGAATAAAACAAGTACACAATTTCATTCTAATAACTGTATAGTTAAATACTATAAAAGGTACAAAGGAAAGCATCAAATCTGGAGGGCTGGGAAAGGTTTCATGAGGAAAGATGATCTTTTCAAAAGTCATTTAATGGCAGATGTGATGTCAATGTGCTGGGCAAAGACACTGGCCAAAGCCTCCATCATCAATGTAGAAGATTCCTTAAGATCGTGGGCCCTGGAACCAGACAGCCTGCATTCAAATCTGCTACCTTAGGGCTTTGTGATCTTCAGAAATTATATGTCCTTTGAGTCTTAGTTTTTTATTTCAACAATGTCATTCTCTTTTCTTGTAGGAAATCTAAGGATATAATCAACAAAACAACTTTTCACAGTAAAAAATTTTGTGCTGATTCTGATGGCTTGTCACAGGAACTCAGACATTTTAACCAAGATGGTACAACATTGGTTGAAGAGTCTGTGAAACACTGTGATAAACTCAGTAGCAACCTGGAAAAGATATCTCAAGAGACTGATCAGAGATGTGGATCTCTGAATAGAAGCACTGTTCATTTTTCTGAACAGTGGGTATCTTGCTTAAATAAAAGGGAACAGGAACTTCAGAATTTACTGGAGGTAATAACTTTGTAAGTAGAACCTATTTTGGGGAGAATAGTAATAACCAGAAAATGAAATATTCCTAGCTAAGTATCGGCTTCAAAACAAACAATATTTTAAGATATAATGATTTAAAACTTCTAAGTATAATACTTGGTGTGCTTATACGTGACCTTGTTTCATGGTTGGTATAATGTCTTCTAAATCTTGACGTTAATTTAACATTTGTCCGGTTTCTGTCCTGTATCTATCCTTGATTTTTGACTTGTTAGTTTCTTCAGGGAAGGGGGCACCCTGTCTTTTGATATATAATACCTTCTACTTATATATGATTTTTATTCTTCTCTAGGTACATTCAGACCTATTATTGCTTTAAGTATTTAGGATATTGTTCTGGTGGCTCAAAGGATACTTGATAGGTTTGTGGGTTTGCTTGAACTTAACACTTGCATGAGCCCTTTGTGACTTAGTTTTTTCTTTCTGTGCAATAGAAGGATTTTAGTAACATTCTCAGGAACTAGGTACAAAGAATAAGTAAGTATTTTAAGCTGTATAAGCTATTTTCCCTAAAAGGAACTAGAGTTCATGGAGAAATAGCTGACTTCAAGTTTAAGGCAGAAAATGTATAAGAAATGAGCCTAGAGATCTTATCATACCAGAAAGTATGATACCACCCCTATTCAAAGGTGGTATAATTTGAGCATCAAAAAGAATAATGGCTATAGTGGATTAAAACACATCAAATATATTAAAGCTCATGAATTCATACACATTTCATAGGCCCCTTTGGATCATGCTAGGGAAGCAATGCATTACTCTGAAAACTTGTCAATAAAGAAACAATATAGCATCCATCTGTCTTTCCTGAAAGAACCATATCTTGGTTCAACAGGGTAATTAATGAAGAAAAATATTTCGTAGATTCTCAAATAATAAAGTGGAGAAGAAATGATAGAATTACTATATCACCATTTTGCAACCCCTAATGAAATAACCCTTGTGGACATTAATGGCTGCTTAAACCATTTGATCTAAAGCTGATGGCAAACTTTATAATTAATAGGGTCACCACACCTGAACCCACTGATTAATCTTAACATGAGAGACACAACTAGACATGTGCTTTCAGTACCACCTATGAAATATTCTTGCAAAAAAATTAAGCCTGAATTAGATCAAGCCTTTAGATTTAATAACCAGTTTATAGAAAATACAAGGCTGGGTGCAGTGGCATGTGCCTGTAGTCCAAGCTACTCAGGAGGCTGAGGCAGGAGGACCACTTGAGCCCAGGAATTTGAGGCTGCAATGAGCTATGAGCGTGCCATTGTATTCCAGCCTAGGCAACAGAGTGAGACCCTGTCTCAGAAAACACAAGAATAAGAAAATAAAGCATAGATCAATTGGCCAAATCCAGAATTTGAGATATTCAATAGAGATCTGGTTTCTTCAACAATAAAAATTTTTTTCAAGAGAAAAATAATATAAGGAAAAAAATATAACTGTAGATCAAGAGACTTAAGACTCTAGAGGGCGTTAAGTCCTAGTTTGAAGTGCCTGTCAATTCATGAGTGGATTATTAAAATTTGGTATATGTATACAATGGAATATTACTCAATTATAAGAAACAACAGTGATCTAGCACCTCTTATATTTTCCTGGATTGAACTTGAGCCCATTATCCGAAGTGAGGTATCACAAGATCGGAAGAACGGGCTCCACTTGTACTCGCCATCAAATTGGTACTAACTGATGAACACTAGGGTGCTCACATGGCAGTAATATTCTCCAGGGATTAGGGGGGGGGGGGGGGTAAACCCACAACTAAAGGACACGGGGAGCATTGTAGAGGGGAAGGGCATACCTCTAACCCTCACTTGGGTGAGGCAAAGACATAAAATGTAACCAAAATGTTTGTACCCTCATAATACCTTGAAATAAAAAAAAAAGTCCTAGTTTGCTTGAGATAGTCCTTATTGTGTTGGGGTAATTAATAAGAATGGGCCCTTTCCCTCTAAAAAGTGTCCCAGTTTGGACGATAAATTAAATAGTCAACTATTTAAGACCTAACAACCAAATCTAGTGGTGAATTCTGGTTCAAACAAACCAATTTTGACACATGTTCAAGACAATAGGTAAAATTTGAACACTGACTAGATATTTTGATATGAAGGAATTATTAAACTTTTTAGATGTGATAGTGATCTTAAAATGCTCTTAACTCAAAGAGATATATGCTGAAGTAAATGGATGAAATGATACAGGATTTGCTTCAAAATAATCCTGGGTCTGAGGAGGAAGTGGCCAATCTTGTTTCATTTGTATCCTATGTGTTGGTAAATGTGCTGGGTAATGAATACAAGGGGTTAATTATACTGTTTTCTTTATTTTTGTATGTGTTTTTAGAACTTTTATTAAGGAAAAGTTCAAGGTAAGGAAAAATGACATAGTGAATAAAGCACTGACAACTTTAATTTTAGTAATGAGAAAACTTATTTGCATCATTTACAGGTTGTAAACCAATGTTGTGAGGCTTCAAATTCAGAGATCACTGAAAAATTACGTGGACATAAAGCAACTAATGAGAACCAGCGTAACGTTTTTCTTGATCAGATAACTATTGATGAAGAAAAATTGATAGCACAAAATCTAGAACTTAATGAAACCATAAAAGTTGGTTTGACTAAGCTTAATTGCTTCCTGCAACAGGATCTGAAACTGGATATCCCAACAGGTACTTTAAAAGGGAAATAGAATTGTTAAATTTTTTGAAGTTGAATTTAACCCCGTATAGTATCTGATGTTCGGAAAAACTAGGTCCTGCCATCGCTTGATGGGAATTTGCCATCTCATGATAATCAACTCAAATGTGAAAAAACCGGAACCCCAAAATTGTTTTAATCGAGCATTAGGTGTCATGATATAGGTGATAATGTACTCCTAGAAATTTGGACATTGCAATTCAGAAAAATTTCACAAACATTCAGGGAACTGACTTTGTCAAGAAAGAACAATTTTAAAACAAAACCCAACCATCTACCTAGCTCTGTCTGTAAGAGGACATTTTAGTGCCCAAAATATTTGGAATGATATAATTGACTAAATCTAGTTTAATGCAAAGTTCACCACATTGTGCATTGTTGTATCCCTTTCATTTTGTCATGGCATTTAGAAATCACCATTTGAGAGATCAGACATAGCAAAGATCAGTGTAGGCCATAATGATTCAGGGTGGCCTTCATGGAAGAGGTGTAACAAGCTGTTTTACACAGAATGTATAACTGAGCTCTTCACTGGATTGTGGTGATAGTTGCATACCCTATAAATTCACTAAATATCATTGAGTTGTACACTTAAAATGAATGAATTTTATGGCATGTAATTATACCTCAAAGTTTTTTTTTTTTAAAGCAATTATAAAAGGAGATCGTACTATAGAATGTTGGTTTATTTTTTTCCCCAAAAGACCTGTAAGATTTAATTGTTCATTTTTCAGTGAAATTGGGAATGTAAATATTGAGTGAAAAGGCAAATGTGTTTGTAAGTTATGAAAGCATGAGCTCATTTTAAAGAAATCTAATTGGTTAATATTTAACCACCAAACCACATTTATAGCAAAATGATTACTCTTATCAAAGTAATCATGTTGGGAAGTCTGTACTCTTATTCCAATTATGGTGCCATTTCTCAGAACGCCCTATAACTCCTTTTAGAGTCTACAACACATCTTTTGTACATCCTCAGAAATAGAAAACTTCATATTTTGAGAGTAGGATGAATCTTGAAAATAGTCAAGTTATTTAAGGTCAGTTGTCAAATTAGAAAATATTATTAGTTGCAAGCAATGTGTACCTGATAGGTAACAACAGTGATTCCCATGTATGGCAATTGTTGTATAATATTTTTGGAAGACAAGACTCATTTAGAAGCATGTTTTAGCATTTAAAAAAAAATCATATTTATATCCCAGAATAATTTTTCCTACTTACCTAATGTCCACTAAAGGTATGACACCACAGAGAAAAAATTACTTATACCCATCAACATTGGTGAGAACTGAACCACGTGAACATCTTCTTGATCAGTTGAAAAGGAAACAGCCTGAGCTGTTCATGATGCTAAACTGTTCAGGAAATAACAAAGAAGAGACCAGTCAGGTAAAATTTAAAGCAGCGTAATTTTAGAACTCTCCTGTAAACTCTCTATGTGGTCAACTTCATGTGAAGAATTGTACTGTGTGCCCTTCAATCTTACCCTGCCTCTCATTAATGATAGTTGCCTGTCACTTAGGCTTGTTTCTTCTAATCTTATCAGTTTTTCAATTACTAGACTAGTAGATAATTATAGTCATATTTATATGTTGTGTTTATTAACATTTTAGTATAGGAACCTCTACTCTATATAAAAGCATATAGAGTAGAGGGATTATTTGTAGACTTTCTGCTAATTTTGTTGAGGTTTAACTTTTATACAATGAGCACTATGTTAAATTTAAAGAAGAAAATTACCTTTACTTTCATGATTTTTAAGCCCTTGGACTTTGTCACTCATCCAGTTTCTTATTTTAGGACATGGATGTAGAAAAGGCAGTACTGAGGCAATATGTTGAAGAAGCTCTAAGTCAAGAGCCATCTGTAGATGCTAGTGTGGATTGTTCATCAATTGGTGGAGTTCCATTTTTCCAGGTACCTGAGTATATCATATCAGATAACCCATATCTGATGTAAGTTATTCACTTATTATTTAATATAAAGGCAATACTCTTTGTGAGTAGAACAACAAAACTTTTCAGTCATTCCTTTGGGATGGCTTGTTAACTTTTCCAATTTAAATTACTTACACAAATCTAATATTGATAATGGGTTTTCTATAGAATAAATAAAGGGAAAATTTTACTTCATCTATATCCTCAGCTAGTTATCTTTAGCTATTATAATTATCTCCATTGTGCTGCCTATATACTCAGAATGGATACTGAGAGCAGTCATTTCTATCTTCCCTCTACATTTGACACAGAAGTCGTGGAGCCCATCTCTGCCCACAATCAGATTTTGAAGACTAAGAGGTTTAAAAGATTGAGAGACTGGAGGCCTCTTAGGTTCTGTTAGTGATTTCGCCTGCCTGAGGCTCTTCTCTTGTTAAGTATTTCCCCAGACTTCCTGAGCTCCTTGCCTGCTCTGATCCTATGCACTTAAATCCTGTGAACTATTCCCACCCCCCCCTTTTAACACTGTTGGGAGCACAGCACTATAAAAGGCACTATAAATTGCCTAACCTGTTTCCCTCTAATTTGAAGATACAAGCCAAGGCATAGTGTGTGAAGTAAGAATTTCCTTATGAAGGACATTGATATCTACATTTTATAGTTGAAGTGCCACTTCTGATATGTACCTGTTTTTAATAGACTTATAGGTCTTTCCCTCAAGGTCTGAAGATTCTCTATCCCTGATTTCAACTCTTAAAAGTTCACTTTAGATTCTCTTAAATTCCTCTGTGTCTATCTCTGGGCAATTTTATCCCCAAATTCTTCCTACCTTTTGCTTTATTCTTTACTGTTATAGAACAGTAAATATATTTCTTTCAGTTTTTCATCCCTGTCTTCAATCTTACAAAGTTAGGAAAAGAGGGAAAGATAAAAGAACCTTAGTGACCACTTAATACCTGGTCAGAAATCCTTTCATTATTATCATTGGTGGCATTTTGAAGGTTGGCCTTAGTGATTGAGCTATAGCAAGGAAATCCCTACAGTACCAGAAAAGATTGGGATTGAGTTTTAGACCTTCAGCTGAAGTCCAGAAATGACCTTTTCTCTGATAAAGAAGTTTCTCTGGGTCTAAACCTTTAAAAGTTGGTTTATGATTTGTCTCAGCAGTGATAATTGAGTGTACAGTGAATGTCACCAGTCTCAATGTTTTCTATAGGCAAGGAGGAGGATTCCAGCAAAATATAACTCCCAAATAAGGAATAGGAATTAAGTTTTTAAAAAGATAAAAATACGATTAAAAAAATAAGATAAGCAAAAGTGTCTTAAGGTAGCCCATATACCAGCATCTCTGCTTAAAGTAGAATTTGCTTTTTTGCATGATAGTAAATCCTTGTTTCCCTAGAGCAGGGTTCCTCAAGGGCAGCACTATTGATATTTTAAACTAGATAATTCTTTGTTGTGGTGGACTTTCATGTGGATCGTACTATGTATAGCAGCATCCTTGGCTTCTACTTAGTAGCACTCCCTAGTTGTAACAACGAAAAATGTCTCTAGACATTACCAAATGTTCCCTGGGAGGCAAAATCACTTCCTGATAAGAACCACTAAATATGTAATTATGTCTTAGGAAGTAATGCAAAAAATTAATATTTCTTTCACCCTACTTCTTCTATTAGTGGTAAAATAAAGAAGGCATCTGGCTGGGTGTGGAGGCTCATGCCTATAATCCCAGCACTTTGGGAAGCTTAAAGTGGGAGGATCACTTGAGGCCAGGAGTTCGAGACCAGCCTGGGCAACATAGTGAGACCTCATCTCTACAAAAAAATTAGCTGGTGTGGTGACATGCACCTGAGCAACTTGGGAGGCTAGGTCGGGGGATTGTTTGAGCCCAGGAGTTTGAGGCTACAGCGAGCTGTGATCACACCATTGCACTCTAGCCTGGGTGACAAGAGTGAGACTTGTGCTGAAATTTTTCTGAAGTTAGAGTGTAGCTAATGTATATCAAATGTTACTTTATATTGACTTAATTTCTTCCCTTATATCCACAGCATAAAAAATCACATGGAAAAGACAAAGAAAACAGAGGCATTAATCCAGTGGAGAGGTCTAAAGTGGAAGAAACTACAGAGCACTCTGCTACAAAGAGCAGATTACCTCTCCGGGCCCAGATAAATCTTTAGTTAACTTGAGGGTCAGAGATTTTATTTTAAAGAAACATTAAGAATGAAACCTGAAACTCCAGAACTTGAGCCTTGTATATAGATCTTAAAAGAATTGATTAAATCAAGATAGTACTGTAAACTTTATTGAACTTAATATCTACCCATTTTTCTGTCATCCTAAAGTTCACTGTTTATTAAGTTGAGTTTCATTTGGAATTTGCATTTAGTAAATATATATTTCTAGCTTTTCATATAATGTAGCTCTTTTATAAAAAATGAAAAAAATGTGTACGTTATTAAATGGGGAATATATAGGAATTGTATTGGTCTTCTAGGCTTGAACTTACATAGGTAAATATCATCAACAGTTGGCCTTGGAAAGGACCATCTCATTTCTTTTCTTGCTATGATTTAATTAAGTCCGTATTTGCTTGCCTTGCCTCCTTCCTAGGCTTCCCTCAGCTCAATTTCTCCCTTTTTATTTTTCACCACACCATTTGTACAGCTACAAAAGGTATCCTTGTTATGAGACATAGCCAGAATTTTACGAAGAAATCTTTAACACTTTTTAGTGGTTATCTCTAAAATCACTGTCAACAATAAACATAATCCTAGAAGTAACCCTTTCTTCAATATTTTTAATTTGTTTCCCATAGATAAGAAAGCATTTCATTTTTTGTTATGAGGCCTAACATATTAGCCCCGCAGAGTTTACAAAAAGCTCACTTCTCCAGAATATAAATTGCTATTATGGGAGAACTACCTAGAGCTCTGATTAATGGTTATACAGCCCCACTCTAAGGCCTGTGTCTTTTGGAGAAGGTCACAATGATTTAAGGACTTTTTGAAACTACTATTTATGTCTATAATTTATATTCTTTTGTTTACCTGATGAAACTTTCTGTTGTTCGTTTTTCGTATATAATAAAATACATATATGTATAGTTTTCTCTTGAGATCTTAACCCCTAGAAGGGCCCTGGCATTTTTGATCTGGCAACCATATTTCTGGAGGTTGAAATGTTTCAGCATGAAGAACTAGAGCACTTAGAGGGAATATGTCCAAAGAATAAATTTTGTGCCCATATCAAGTTTAGTGTATAAATTTCAGAAACATTTGACTTTGATAGCTAAGTAAAACCAAACCTTATTGGAAAATTAAAAAATATGCTACTTATAGGAACTAAATTTACCTTGCAGAAGTATTAATTATCTTAGTAAAAATAGTGGACATAATTTCTCTGCAAAATCAGATGTCAATATAAGCTATGGATAATATCTAATAAACTGCCCCCCTTGGTAAATCCATTAATAAATTTAGTTTCAGCAGTTCTACCTGTTTGCTCCATAATTTCGTATCTGGCAATGAGTTATGCAAGCTGTACTAACTTTCCTAAAATCAACTTCTACATAGGTACCACCATGGAAGAAGCACCCTGGTAAACATTGCAATGTTTTAGTCACACTTCAAGGGGCTACACCTTAGGTGGAAGATTAATCAGAATTAGATTGGTCCTCACATGGCCTGAAGTCCAACTTTAAGTTATCTCCATCTCGTTCCATGACTGTTTTAAAGAGAATGCTAATGCAACTAATTTAACTGCCTGACAAAGCAAAAGAATTTTAGCATCCCGAGCCATAAATTAGCTCTACAAATTTTCTTATACAGTGTCAGGCCCTCAAAAAATGAGTGGCATCAGCAAAAATGGCAAAGTAGGTAGTTTCAAGGACCTGTTCCTCCACAGAAACATTGAAAAATCAAGCAAAAACATTCAGAAAACATTTGTTTTAACCTGTCTGGGGCAACCTGAAGGACTGACACAAGACACTTGCTTTTGTTTCATCCAACTCATAACTCAATCAGGGTGGAAAGGTGGAGGGCATTTCTCATCAGGCAAATGAACAACTGCTGACACCTGGGGCAAAAAATTATAGTCTCGGTAAACAAAGGAGTACCTAAAGCCTGGGAGGAAAAGCAGTGGAGAGAATTTCTTAGGGAAATTAGGCCATTCAAAAGCACTGTGTATTCCGGGGAATTCAGAAAGCCATGAACATGCCCAGGTTAAGTTGCCGTTCAGAGAAGACCTGAGAAGGCCCTAAGCTTTAACATCTGGCTGCTCTCTGGACTCAGTACAAGCAGGAAGTAAAGGCAGATTTTAAAGGGCCTGGCTAACATTGAAGGTATGTCCCAACCCAGCCAATCAGCAAAAGCTGAGAGAGTTTTTTCTTTCCTTCTTGTTTTATTTGCTTATATTTTTGGCAGCTGGTATTCAAGGGAACCTCTCCAAACACACTAGCTGAGCACAGCAAAAGGAAGAGACATTGGAGACCACATAAGTCAAAGAACAGAGACTTTACAAAAACAGTTTAGAAAAGTCACTAAAAAATCCATACTAGTCCATGACGAGCAACAAAAACAAATCCTAAGGGAGTGAAGAATTTGGTTTCCAGAGTTACCATATTATAATATTCAAAATAATGTTTCATTTTTTTTTAATTTTTATTTCTGTGTATTATGGGGGTATAAATGTTTAGGTTACATTGCCCTACCCCCCCACCAGTCAGAGCTTCAAGCAATGTTTAGTTTTTAACAAAAAAACTGTGAAACATACATACAAAGTATAGCCCATACAAAGAAAAAATTAGCATAAACTGCAGAAGCACAAACATTGGACTTAAAAAAATTTATTTATTTATTTATTTATTTGTGAGACAGGGTCTCATTCTTGTCCTAAACTGGAGTACAGCAGCACCATCATAGTTCACTGCAGCCTGCAACTCAGACTCAAGTGATCCTCATGCCTCAGCCTCCCAAATAGCTAAGACTACAGGTACATGACACCACATCTGGCTAGTTTTTTTATTTTTTATTTTTTTTAGAGAC